AAGGAGGAGTGAGCGGATTCATTCGTGCCCCCTGCGGGAGCCCCCAAGCCTCAGGGTGGAGGAGCAGGACTGTGTCTCTGGGCTGGAGGTGGGTGCCCAATGGCAACATGAGACTCCCAAAGGAGGGAACTTTTCCATGAGGTGGACCTGTGTCACTGCAAATGTGTGTCCCACATGGGTGGGAAAAGACTGCTATGTTCTTCACGGATTAGAAATAAAACTTTTGAGAAAAACTTTAGAAGTGAAAACTTCAAGTATAACAGAGAAGATTTACACATAGAAGACTTTTACTGAAAAAGTCTTACTATTTTAAATGGAATGCACAGTGCATAGGCACCATGCACATTCACAGAACACTCGTGGCAATGGATAGACTTACATACTTGGGGTTCTCCCCTATTATTACAGGATGTTTTTGTGGGGGGTGTTCACGAGGAAGGTAGGGGAGGATGTCTGCACTGATCAAGCCTTTTATCAGCTGTGGAGGCAGCAGCTAAGAGAAAGTGCTACTTCAGACTCGTGCTTGTCAGTGAGTCCTTACCATGATATATTTAAACATTTTTCTCAGCATGAGCTTGATTTTAACAATGAATCCAGAAAAAAGAGGACGGGATAATAAATCACAAACAATAAAAACCAACAGCGGTTTCTTCTGACACTGCCACTGCAGCTCTCCATCCTGCAGGGCCTGTCAGAACATGCTACCTGAGAGCACGTGGACGCTCGGGAACCTGGCTGCACCCTAGAGACAACAGGCAGGAGCCTTTCAGCACCCCCTTAGCATCTTCTTTGGCAAGAGCCATGAATGCTGTGCTGGTCAAGGGGGTGGCTTGCAGCAGGGAGTGGACAGCAGGAGAAAGCCGAGCAGGACAAAATGGGACAACAATTAGATCAGACTTGGGCTGGCTGGCTAGCTCAGTTGGTTAGAGAATGGTGTTATAACACAGAGGTCAAGCGTGTGGATCCCTCAATCACCAGCCACCCAGGAGGAAAAAAAAAAAAAAAAAGCAAAATCAGACTTATCCTGGTGGAAAATTCTGCCCAGGGCTGCTGGGGCAATGAGGGAGAGTCTAGAGTGACACTAGAGTCTCCTATGTGGGAAAGACATCTTTAAAATTAACGAATGAGAAAAGGCCTGTGCCCCTGTGACCCTGACATGGACCCTCGTGTGACCTCTGACATTTTGAAACATTCTGAGCAGATCACCATGCCTCAGGAACCTGCAGCCCCATTACAGGCTCCCCAGCCACTGAAGGCTGAGCAGGCTGGGAAAACACAAGAAACTGTTGTAACCAAACGAAATTTACAACTAAGTCCATCTAAGACATATTTGATGTGACCCATCATTCAACACTGGACATATGGAAGGCAAAAAAGAAAACAGTTCTTACATGTAAATTACTGAAATTAATAAGTCAGAGCCAAAATTTTAGTTTTTCTCTTTCCACTTTGTTAATACTCTAGTATCTATAAACAACAGAATGTTGAGTTTTCTTTTTTCCCCAATATCTTTTGAAATAAGATACATGCTTTCATGTGTTAAAAGACAAAGACGCTTGATGCATGGATGCTTTCTCACCCCAACCTATAAGTCTATCCTTTCAGAGTTCAAGATAGTGGGGAGAATTTTCTTTAAATGCAACTAAATGCTATTATTTAGTTCCTTCAAGGTAGGGATATGGTGTAGGGAAAAGAGGATAGATTGAATCCCTGGGTTTAAACCCTGTTCTGCTCTTTATCAGCTGCACTATGTTGGACATGTTCTTCAGTCTTTCTGAGCCTTGAACCATTTAAGTGAAGATGTTAAATTGTCAGCAAGAGAGGCGGGGAAGGACCAGCTGGTGAAGTGGTGGGAAGCCAAGGAGAGTGTGATTGACACTTGGAAGCTGAGAGAAGAAAGTGTTTTTAGAAGGAGGGAGTGTCCAACCACTTTGAATGCTGTGTGCATCTGCCCACACAGAGGAACCTGACACAAACCAAGACTTTTAAGTTGTTCTTGGTCCATCACTTCCAACACCATGAATATCTTGAAAGGAAAAAAAAAAATAGCATCTCTGATCATTGTAGTGTTTTGAGGGACTTTTTTCCCACTATCTCATTTGCATATTAAAACAAAACTAAAACTGAGAACAAATCTTTACAACTCTGGTTCTTTCTTTCACTTTCAATAATTTCTAGGTTCTCTAGCATCTCTGATCATTGTAGTGTTTTGAGGGACTTTTTTCCCACTATCTCATTTGCATATTAAAACAAAACTAACACTGAGAACAAATCTTTACAACTCTGGTTCTTTCTTTCACTTTCAATAATTTCTAGGTTCTCTGTACCCCTTTAAGGGAGAATTCTAGGGGATGGGAGTAAAGTGAACCTAGACTATATAATTTGGGGCAGCTCAGAAACACTCCTCCTCATTGTAAGTGCATCTGATAACATTTTCCATACCGATGTGCAACACAAGTCTTTCAAATGCAGTCATGTCAGCGTTAGCCTAAATTTAGGCAAACACAATTTCTGAGTACTAAAACAAAGAAAAACAAACGCCATATAAGCCTTTCGGCACAAAGGTCTAAAAATACCGTATTCTTTCTCCCGACTCCACACACAAAAGAAAAGATCTTGACCATCAGAGACTGGGTTGACCACAGCTCCAGGGAAGCCAGAGATGAGTCTCTCCTCATGTGTGAACTGACTTCCCAGCTACAGTCTAACTTGCTTATGAGCTGGAAACACACTTCACCAACTAATATTTATTATGTTGCCCCCAGCCCCCACCAAATGACTATGGTCATGCAGAACCAGAGGCATCAAGGGGACTTAGAGACACGGAGAATGGAGATGACATAGTTGGAGAAACTGAGTCTTTGAGAAGTGAAGGGATTTGCACAGTTACACAGGTAGCATATAAGCATGCGCCTGGGTCCCCCACCTTAAAGCAACTCTCTCTGGCCCTCAGCTCCCTCTGCTACCTCCCCAGTACTTCTTCCCTCACCAGCATATCCTCTCCCACATAGTCCACACTCGATGGCTCTGCTTCCTGACCTCCCGTTCACTCTTCCATCCACTTCCATTTGGCTTCCTTCCCCACTACTCCTAAATGCACGAATGTCCAGGTCACCAACATCTTCCCTGTGGTCCCGCCCAAAGGTCACTTCTCTCTGTCCCTTTACATACCCCTTGGCAGCATCTAGCATCGGCCACCCCACCTTCTTGCCTCAATTTCTCTCCTGGCTCCATGACCTCCGGTTGCCTGGTTTTCTCCACACACACTGATTGCCCCAGGATCCTTTGCTGGCTGCTCATCTTCCTCTCTCCCTGGTGATGTCATTATGCTCAGAATTTTAAATGTTTTTATAGACTAAATGTTACAGTCTCTCCAATGAGCTCCTCATTTGCAGAACCCATTGAGTTCTTAATATTAAATATCTATTTCGCATCTCAAATTTAACACATGCAAAACTGGAATCTTTACTTTTCCCTCCAAAGCCTGCTCTTCCCAGTCTTTACCATCTCACTAAAAGGCATCACCATCTACCCCAACTGCTTAACTCAAAAACCTATGAATCATCTGGATTTGCTGATTTTCCTCTTCTCCACATTCAATCGACCAGAGAAAATACATCTCAAGTATGTTTGCTTCTTGCATCTGTCACTGCCACCACCAGGATCTCCTGTGACCTGGCTCCTGCCTGCCTCTCAAAGCCCCATGCTCAGTCCCCTTTCCAGCCACAAATCCCTCCTTTCTGTCCCTAAAGCACCCCAAACCCTGTCCTGCCTCAGGGCCTTCATGTTCCCTCCTCTGCCAGGCTATGCATACAAGGGGCTCATTCTCAGAGAGGCATCCCCCAGCCTCCTCACTACAAGTCCTTCACTCAGTCTGGAAATCATCCCCTGTGAGCAGCTCATGCACGCAGCAGTGTCCCTGCTGAGTGGGAGCTCCGTGAGAGCAGGGGCTCTTGGGAGGCTGGCTATGGCGCTAGTCATCCTGCGGGCAGGCGCAGGAGCACCAGCTGAGGCGCAGTGCAGGCCTCCGGCGCCGTGGCTGGGTGGCCCTCTTGGGAGCACGGCCTGCCTGCCTGCCGCCCTGGGGTCCCTGGCTCGGTGCATTTCGCCAGGCTGCAGCCTCAAGGTGCGCTTCAGTTGCGGTCATGGGGAGTGGGGTCATTATTAAAAACAAACTGCCACTGCAGAGATGTCCAGGGCAGGCTTGTGCTCAGGGAGGTAGGCGGCCTTCAGGGTGGCCGTCCAGCTAAACGGGGTGAGAAGAGGGCAGCTCCTGGATGGCCCACCCTTCCCAGCTTTCTGACTGCAGATCCCAAACAGTGACTAGTCAGGAGGGGGTGAACAGGAGGTTTCTGTTGCCACAGCAACCTCACTGCTCCTGGGGCCTGGGCATGAGGTTTCAGATAAACAACTTTGGAGTCCTGAAGAAATGGACCAAAGCAGAGGGCAAACATGGAAAAACAGCAAGGAGTAATTCTGCAAGTGCACAAGCCACAGTGTGCAAACAAAACTCAGTAGCTGGGAGTGGAATCCTCTACTGCAATGGAGAAAGCAGCAGAGGCTTCCTGCTGGGCTACATGGAAACAAAAGGCCCCATTGACACTCACATCTGTTACTACTAAATGCTTTGGAATCAATATTTTCCTAAAGATTTTTTTCCCTTTGGCTTTAAAGGGTTACCATTGGCCAGACTGCCAAACCCCAACCTTCTCCATGTCTGCAGCCACCACATAAAGTGACTATTAGAACTTCAAACGAAGAATTTGGTCCTGGAAGTGGACTCATGCTAGTTTTTTTCCTGAATAGGAACACCAGGAAAATGTCAGATGACAAACTGAAACACCCTGACTTAAAACATAATCACATCCCTAGGAGGATGAGCAGCCCAGCCCGGTGTCATTTAAAAAGGAAACACTGCACATTTAATCAGATGGCCTGGATGTGTCCTGAAAGAGGAAGAGGAGGAGCAAGAAGGTAGTAGGATCATGAGGGTGCTTTACCTTAACACCTGCATCTCCTCAGGGGAGTTCCGCATCTCGTCCTGCAGGCGACGCCAACGCAGGCAAGCCCTCAGCTCCTGCTGCTCCTGCGCCTCATGTGGGGCCAGCTGCTGGGGCCAGACACACAAACACACGTGCACAAAACACAGTAGCTTTTGTCATCGGTGTGCTGGTCGGAGCTGCCCCATGGAAAGGCTTGCTTTGTTCCAGTGGGGGATGACACAGACTGGCCCCTGTTTTCACCTTGCTCCCCACTAGCAAATCAAAGGGCCAAAGAAATCTCTTAGTTCCTCAAATGAAGAACCAACTGCACACTCTCATGCTGGTGGGTGGAGCTGGGCCTTGCTGTTGGGGGCGTCCCCTGGTCCCGGAACCCACCCCACTCCCCACACACATGCTGGCCTTGAGAGCACGGCCTTCCCTAGGAGCCATTTCCACTTTGATTCCATCCAGCCCTCCTCTCCTGCTCTGTCTTTCTGCGTGTGTGGGAAGGTCCCTCCATTTACCTCCTGTTTTTCCCAACGCTCAGTCTTGTTAAGGACTGTTTACAGTGGAGCTTGCTAATACAGTCCAGATGACTCCATTTGCATATAACCAGAAAAGGGAGGGGGAAGGCCACTACACTCTGCCCTACTGTGTCAGAATTGGCTGCGTGCTCACTGTGTGCAGATTACAGCTGCACAGCTATAATCTCTGTAAGGGAGGGCAGCAGGACACCCACTGGGGAGAGAAGATTTCTAGTATCGGCAGGCATTTCTGGAAATCAAAGCTCCTTAATAATTCATTCAACAGATAGTCAATGAGTCTCTGCTAGGCTCTGGGGACAGAGCAGGTGACAGTTGAAGTTAAGGAAGAACCCAGGTGCCCCCTCACCAACCAAGGAAGGTCAGAGGGCTTTCCTGAGGGGGTGGTGGTGCCTGCATCAGACCGCAGGGAAAGCAGGAGTCACCAGGAGGAGGGAAGGCGTGCAAGGCATGTGGGGCCTGGAGAGAGTCTGCTGTGATCAGAGAATGACGAGGGATGTGGGCAGGCCGGAGGAGACACTGACCAGGGAAGGGAACAGAGAGCTGCTGAGAAACTGGCAGAGGCTGAGCCTGTTGTTACAATCTGAATTTTGTCACCCCAATATACATATATTGAAGACCTAACCCCAATGTGACTGTATTTGCAGACAGGGCTTTTAAGGAAGTAATTACAGTTAAATGAGAGTCATAAGAGTGGGCCCATAGTCCTACAGTGTTCTTATAAGAGGAAGGGACACTAGAGCTCTTTCTGCACACTCAGAGGCAAGGTCATGTAAGAACACAGCAAAAAGGGGCCACAGCACGAAGAGAGGCCTCACCAGAGACCACCTGTCGGCACCCTGATCTTGGATCTGGCCTCCAGAATTGTGAGAAATAAATGTCTGTTGTTTAAGCCACCCAGTTGTAGTATTTAATTATGGCAGTCTGAGTAGACTAATACATCTGTGAAGGAGTTTAGACTTTTTCCAGGTTGATCGGCACCCTGATCTTGGATCTGGCCTCCAGAATTGTGAGAAATAAATGTCTGTTGTTTAAGCCACCCAGTTGTAGTATTTTATTATGGCAGTCTGAGTAGACTAATACATCTGTGAAGGAGTTTAGACTTTTTCCAGGTTGATGACAAGTTATATGATTCAATCTTGCAACTAACTCAATTCACCTACCCCTGTGGAGTGTGGTTTCCGTCTCCTTTTTCCATGATTTCACCCCCTTCCCCTGCTTTTGCTGTGCTTCCCAATGCCCGGGCAGCAACACGACCCAAATGAGCACTGCCACCAATGCAGACTCACCCCTCTTCACTGGTGGAGCCCAGTGCAGACCAGGAGTGTCCCTGCCCCTCAGAGGCTCCTCTGCTGCTGGGAAGGTCTGACATGGGCACCAGCTCAGTGTCGCCCTTATTAGAAGGGGTCAGAGTGTCAGGCACACTCTGGAAATGTTTCCAAACTTCGTGCTGGAATCTAGAATGGCCACTTTGCCTCAAGAATGTTCACATGTTCACATTCTGAGGAGTCACTGCACCTGCCCTGAAGGATGGTGAGGTGGAGGTTGGAGGAGGGACAGAGAGACCTCAGCTCCTGCCTTCCCTTCAAGGCCTGCAACAGAAGCCACCTCCTCCACGAGGACTTTCTGGATCCACTCAGACCCTGGCCTCTGCCACCTCTGAACTCCCACAATACTTGGCATTTACCTCTCTTTTTAAACTTGTTTTCTTCTCCATTCCACAGTGTGGTCTTCCTATTGTCACAATTAGACTGTGGTAGGCTGCGTCTTACCCAGCCTTTGGTTGCCACAGACCCAGCACAGAACAGACGCAGAAGGTGTGTAGTGAGATGCGGCCATGGGCTTCTGTCGGTGGATATGGATGCCTTCAGAGAGTCAAAGGCAGGCCCCCCACCAGGAGACTCAGGTGCCTGTCCAGAGGTTTAGGCAGCAGGAAGAGTAAAGGAGGAGCGCTTTTTGGGGACGCAGGAAATACAGGGCAGAGATATCACTACCGGATGCCTGAAGTGCCTTTGCAATGGCCAAGAAGAGCACAAATCTGACTGTCTCAGGATGAAAGCAACCCAGGGAAGGGAGTGTGACAGCTGAATGCCTACTATGTGCAAGGTGTTGGAAAACACAAACAGGAAGAGAACTGGTATTTCTTACATGACCTTTCCGTGTCAGGCACTGTGCTAACTAAGCTCATCCATACATTATCCTATTTGCCCTAGAAGATTAAGCGTTCTTATATTCATTCTTACAAACAGGAAGAGAACTGGTATTTCTTACATGACCTTTCCGTGTCAGGCACTGTGCTAAGCTCATCCATACATTATCCTATTTGCCCTAGAAGATTAAGCGTTCTTATATTCATTCTACAAATGGGGAAACTGAGGCTCAGGGAGACTATATAACCTACCTATCCTCACAAAGCTGGTGTACAGCAGAGCTGGATTCAAAGCCTGGTTCTACTCAAAACCCCGTCTCTTTTCCTGTATCTACCATGTGGCCTCTCTTCACAGGACTCTGGGGGACACAGGTGTGCATACTGCTAGGCCCACAGCCAAGGGGTGAAAAGGATGGGAGGATGAGTAAGACACAGCTCCACTCTGAAAGAGGTCACAGTCCCGTTGTGAGGATAAGAAAAGCACATGGCAGAAGGAGGAAGAAACAGCGAGGAAAGAGAGGCAAGAGCCAGATACAGTGGGAGTTCAAAGTTCACAGGAGAGCGGTGCCGAGTCGTGAGTGGGGTATTCAGGGTGGGCTGTCTGGAGAAGGTGGCCTTGAGCCGGTTAGTGAGAAATAAATAGGATTTCAGCCAACAGAAGGACCTTGAACAAAATCATACAGGTATGAACAAACTTGGGAATTTTAGCAATGCCAAACCGTGCAGTGTGTAAGGGGTGGGGACGGTAGGGAAAAGAAGTGACCTAAATACGAGGAATTGGAAAGTAAGCAGGAAGCAGCTTAGCTCCCACATCCTCATCAGAACTGGTGGCCAATTCTTTATAGCAGAGGTTGCAAACTGGGAATGTGGTGACCAGGTCTGGCCTCTGGGTCTGTTTGGTTTGTATAATATTTTTTAAATTAGGAAACTTCACAGAAAAAACCAGGTTTTTACGGATTCCTTTAGAAAAACTACAAGTCCAGGCTGTACTGAGTCCTCCCTTCAACATGACAACGGTTGGTCAGAGCTGAGTAGCAGTGGCCAGTCTGCCACAGACCTTGCCCTGCCCCAACTGACAACGCCCACTGCTTCGCTCTTCATTCATTCCTTGTCAGCGGACATCTGAGATTATTACTCCTGACTTACATTTTAACCTCATTATCTGAAACACACACACACAGTCAGTGCCACACAACTGTGACCACAAAGGACTGCTCGAGTACACCACAACATGGCCTTCTCTCCACTCCTCTGCTCCAAGGTCTCCTTATCAGAGAGGCCTCCTCTGACCACCTTCTAGGATAGCTCGCTCCTCACCGCTCCCTGCAGGGCCCACTTTCCTTCACAGTACTCTTCACCACCTGACATCTTATACATTCACCTGTCTGTCTGTCTTCTCTCTCCCGTCTCCAGACTATGGATTCTGCAACAGCAGGGGCTTCCCTCTCTTATGTATAAAGCTATCTCCACTGCAAAAATCATGCCTAGAACATATCTGTTGAATGAACAAATGACTAGAAATAGAACTTGACTCTGGACAGTGAAATGCTTAGGATCACTTTAAACCCACCTGCTGCGCCTCAGCCCAGATCACGTCTTCCAAGTGAGTGGCGAAGCCTTCACTCAGCCACTCCTCGGTCCAGTCGCGGGCCCCGATGGCTAGGCCAAACCAGGCGTGAGCAATTTCATGGCAGAGACGGGTCCCACAGAGATGGCTCATTCCTGTCAAGGTGCTCTGAGAGAGGAAGATGATGTGTGGGCTGTGGATAATGGGGGGGAAAAAGGGAGTCTTGTTAGAGCCTGTCTTCATGACTACCCCACGGGGCGACTTTCTCAGCCTACGAGCCTGTTATTATCATGTGCATGCTAGATCCTGACCGACAGGCTTGCAGCTGAGATGCTTTCAGACAAATAAAGTGGCAGTTTATGTTTCTGGCAGCGGTTCAGGTTGCTGTTTCTGCCAAGCAGTTGTCTCCGTCCTCAAACGGCTGTTACCTGTAATAAGTAACCTGCACCAACATTTTACACTGAAAAAATTACAAGGCAATGGAAGCATTTACTCTGAAATCTGGACTGTAAAAGAAGAGCAGGTGTGAGAATGCGAAGCCCATGCTGTCAGGAAAGTGATCAAAGACCCTTCAGCCGAAAATCCAAGCAGCTTACAAACAAATTGAGAAGTCATGCAGAAGGACAGGAAAAGCCAAGAAGAATGCAACCCCAAATTTTCCAGTTCACACTGGGGCTGTTTACACAGTTAACACAAACAGGTGCTGTGGATGGGTGAGGTTTTCAAGAGAGCTGGATAAAGGCAGAGGCTCTGCAAGGCAAAGATTTTCAGTGGGAACTGTAGGTGCTTATAGATTTACACAACATCACAAAACTGTGCTGAGCAAGAGAAGGAAGTTAACACACCCAGGTGTGCAAACGGCCCCAGGGCTGCACCAGACGGGGAGATTTACCTAATCTCCTTTTCCATACCCCGTTTTAAAACCCTGTTTTACTGTGATTAAAGTTGCATAGATATGGTGGGACAAAGGGGGGCTGAGGAAAGACAGCAAATCGAATACCTCCTATGCTTCCACACTCGCAGTTTATCATTCATCCAGGACTTGTTTATAGTCTTCCTAGAGAAGAATCCGCTCTTGAAAAACCTCTCCTCCATCAACTGAACAAACACAGTTGTGAAACCTTCCAATAAGAAACTGTACATGCCAGTTCCTTCTTTCAAATGCCATTTGTTTGCCGTCCTGTTGGCTCTGCACAAGCCAAGACTGCTCGCGGATTTCTCTTCCGCCCCCACGGCCACCATTAGCAAAACCACCTATCTTTCCCTTGCACAACATCACCCATTCAGCTCAGAGAGCTAGACTGCAGCGGCGGAGTCACGTCTGCCAACACAGACACTTTCACATGAAATGACGACAGGGCAGGCTCGCAAATGAGAAGCATCTACTGGGCTCCCTGAAGAATCCACCAGAAACCCCAGAAAATAAAAGTGGAGTTGGGGCATTTAGGAAAAAGGGGTGCAATGCCACAGGCCCCAGCAGTAGCACAAAGCTCCAACTCAGAAAACATATAGGGAGGGAGCAAGGGACTGGGAGGCGCAGGAGCTAAACCTCCCCATGCTGGGAAAGTCACCCTGTTGAGAAGACAAACCATTCAACCTGGCATTTTCAAGTAAATGACCCCTGGCTCTGGCATGTGCAGTGCTACAAAGAAAAGCCACAGAAATGTACCGAGTAAATAACATTCCAGACATACTGCTGGCAGCAGTTCACCCTTTGGCTAAAACAAAACAGAAGTAACTCCAGGCCTCATAAACAGGCTCAAAGACCAGCCCACATGGGAAGGGTCCACCAGCCGGAGAGGGCCAGACGAGCGCACATTGTTAGAGAAACTGGGTGGCTGACTGTCCACCGCAGCCAGGAAGTGTCTACAAGTGATAGCTGTGAAATGGCAGAAAGACTGTTGATGAAGAAAAAGCCTCCACTGTCTGGGTGACCTGCCGTTTCTGTCCCAGGGCGGAAGCCTAGCCAAGGCCCATTTATGCAAATGTAAAAGTCTGCAAGGGACTGAAGGAGCGCACAAAAAGCAGCCGTGTGGGGGGTGGCATTTCATTTTCCTGCCCTTTAATGTTTTGCCCTTGGGCAGCTGCTGTCGTCTCCAGCAGACTCCTCCCCACCCTCCAGTACCCTGCAGACAACACCCCAGCCTCAGTGCATCTTGGCTGGGCTCTGGACAGACCCTAGTTTTGCTGGAATTCAACCTAAATTCCCACTTCCCCATCCTCAATCCTTTCTTCTGAGCCAGGGATAAATGTATTTCCTACTGTCCTGTGAGGGAGACTGAAGCTTAAACATCCTCCTTGGTAGGAAGGAAGGGCGTCTGACTTGATATAAATAACACTATTATCAGTGGAAAACATGACCTCCTCCCTGAAAAGCAATTTGCTGGTTGGTGACTTGACTCTTAAACCCTCCAGCAGCCTGTTTTGCCCTCAAAAGCTGGGATTTACCTACTGGATGCTCTGGGGCTATTTCCCTATAAAGGAAATGGCTGCTGTCTTAAAACTAAATTGAAAACACAGAGTGAGGTTTTGATAACCTTTCTCCAGGGCTGTTAAAATTCCGACATAAAAGGAAAATAGAATATTCTCTCAAGAATTTTCTTTCCCTCCTTTAGACCCAAAATGTCATGATTTCTCCTGTTGGGTTCCCAGCCAGAACAAGGCCCTCACCAGATGTGCCCCCTGGACTGTGGACTTCCCAGCCTCCAAAACTGTAAAAAATAAATTTATTTCTTTATTAAAAAAAAAAATTCTCATGTTAAGTAGACTTTTTAAACTTTTTTAAAAACTGCTTTTCTACAACAGTGAGTCAAGAAAAGTATAATAATGTTCTTAAGCTCACTTCAAGTAACAGTAAATACTCCTTTACCAACAGATAGTCTATCTCATGTCCGTCCACCTTCAAAACAGAATGAGCTTTTATAATTTTCTGCTCCTACCTTAACCTTGATTTGTAAGGCTCACCCCCGGGCTCCTCACACATCCTTCTTTCTCAGAATCTCATTCACGCTCCGGACCAGCCAGCAATGGTCGGTCTTCACTCTGATGAGGACCACTGGAAAAGGGGGTTTCTTTTTTTCCCCCCAAAAGGGTCTGTGTCAACTGCCTGTGCAAATGCCAGACTGCCGATTTGTCATCATTACAGAGGATGGAAAATAATCACCTCGTGACATCTTCATCCTAAAAACGTCTTTGTTTTGTTTTTTTAAATGTCACAGAGTTTATCACTTTTCCCAAGTGGGAGAAGGGCAGAAGAGGGACATGCTCAGTCTGAGAAACACAGGCCTCCTGTTTGCATTCTGCACGTCAGAATGGTGCAGAGCCCCACAGGCCGGCGCCGTCATTCGCTCCCTGGAGACCACCTGCGGGGCTGCCTCCTCCACCAAGGCCAAGCATATAGCATGTCTGCCGCCTTGCCCCTCGAGATAAAAACATCATGTCTGTTCTGAAAACAGTTTCTGGAGACTGTTCCTTTACTCTAGCTACCCACCCTGATGAGAGTGCTGTGCCCGTTAATTTAAAACATGCTTGTAGCAGAGGAGGAAGGAACGCCTTCATTACTCCCAGGAGCTGCTCCGATCCTTCAGGAGGAATTCAATTTGGAACGGAAATGGAGAATTTCATCAGATCTTAAGTAGGAGCTGGTGCTTGATTTATTTCTGCTTTTTCCAGGGAGACCTGACCAGCGTGGCCCATCTTGCTGCTCAGGAAGCGATCCAGCACTTAGCGGCTCCGCTAGATGCTGCTGCCACAGCAGGTCACAGCAGGCTGCATGGGGGGCAGGGCGGGGTGCGCACCCAGAAGACAGGAAATTACTTTGGGTTAAGGATAAGAAGGGCCCCCAGGCCACGACTCCCATTATAATGGAGCAGATCCCAATTCCCCTCAAAGCAAATTCACTTTTCATACAGATCCGTGGGAGGTGTCATACGAACTTATATTTATCAAGGTTGAACTTCTCGCGGGTTCAGCATTTTTCATAATTTCAGCAGTATGTGGAGCCCAATGTCCCAGGAGAGAGAGGAAGAACCAGTGAAGAGGGATCTCAGGCTGCTGTCCCTCCAAGGCCCAACTGGATTGTTTTAAGGGTCTTAGAATCATGTGAAAGCAACTTGCTTGTGTGACTTAACTGTTCATTTAATTTGGACAACCAAAACACAGATGGATGTAGCTGGGGCGATCTGAAAGGGAGTTTGCAGCCTCATTCCCCTCCCTTAGGTTCCTAACACGTCCCCTCTTTTCTTGGTAAGGTGTGAGGTGACTCATGCCAGCACTGCAAGAGATGCATTTACAAATCAAGTGCTCAGGTCCTGCCCTTTCACCTGCTAAATGGAATCCCTGACCCTCTTTTCCAAATGCAGTGTAATGTAAGGATGCATCTGTGGTCTCAAGGGCCAAGGGGTGGCCCAGACGACCCGGCAGGACCCTCCTCCCCTCCAGCTCTGGGACTGCTCAGAAGGGAACAGTTGTCTTCCATCTTCCTCAGCTGGCATCCACCGTAGTCACACCGTATAATCTCTGAACTGGAGGCTTAGGAGATGAGGGAGTATTTTTTAAGAGATTTTCAGTAGCTTAAGATGAAAACCAGTTCTAAAAACTTGAAGAAAACTTTCTACATCTAATCGATGTTTAAAGGGATCTAGGCTACAGAGAAAAGGATAACGTTAGTTAATATAAATTTTCTTTTTAAAAAGTCTGAAGAACAAATGGTAAAACATCTACTCATTCACCTAAATGAATTTTGGCTCAAACTGCCAACATGACTATGGCAGAGAGTGACTGAGGGGAGCCCCTGGGCCACATTCCTTAGTTGTACCCCAAACAGTCTCCTTCTAGAGACTCGTATTGCTTGAGTGTTTGCTATGTGCTAGGCACTGTTTTACGTATGTCATCTCATTTACTCTACCCCACCACCTCAGGAGATAACATTTATTATTATCGCATTTTACAGATGATGAAAGTGAGGCAAGGAGAGGCAAAGTGACTGGCTCAAGGTCACACAGCTGGCAAGTAAAGGAGCTGGTGTTTGAACGTATGCAGTCTCGACTTTGAAGTCTCACGGTGACCCACTCTGCCCAAGACCACTGGGTTTAGAGGGCTCCCATCCCTCTATGCCAGCTCAAGCCTACTGGTGCAATGATCATGGCCGTCCCATGAGCTCTGTCTTCAGAGTCCACCAAAGGGAAGCCACTGGCCCTGTTCTGGAACCTCTGTTCCCTAAATCTACATCACAGCCAGAACTGGCCCAAGGGTGCCAGGCCTATTGATCAGCAAAGCTTCAGCCACCTCCTGGTGAGAAGGGTAGGGAAGGAGGAAAAGGGGCCACGGGGGCATCACTACTCCACTGTTGATGCCCCCAAACTGCCTAAATTCCCAAACTCAATGCCTCTGTCTTCATAACCCTGTCCTATGGTGGGAATCCCTAGTGGGTTACAAGGAGATGCTTTAGACAAGCAGGTGCAAGGGTGCTTAGGTAAGTCCCCGATGTATGATGCCAGAACCCTGGGAAGGGCGACATGCCAGCCTGTCTCTCCCTGGCCTCTGCCTCTCACTTATTTTTGCTAAAGACTGTATTCTTTTCAAGTAGAGAAGTTTTAAAGCAGGTTACAAACTCAAAGAGTGCTACAGGAGCCAAGAAGATAACAAAATGAGGGCTGTAGACAAGAAGATGGGAGATGCAGATAAGGAGATGGGGAAGCAGATGAGGAAATGAGGGAAGAAGACAGGAGATGAGGAAGAAGAGGAGGAGATGGGAGAAGAAGAAAAGAGGAGGCGGCAGACAGCGAGAGGAGGAGAGTGGACATAGATAACACGAGGACGGAGACAGATACCGCAGAAGCAGAGAGCAGAAGGAAGGAAGGAGAAACCCAGCCAGAGAGGTGGCTGACGTGAAGAAGGAAGTAGGCAGTGAGATTGGGGAGTGGACGTGATAACACAGGGACAACGACGACTCCATGAGGAAAGTACGCATCGATTTTAGAAATGCCGAGGCATAGAAGCGGCAAGTTCATAGTTTCTGTTTTATCTTAGGAGCAGAGGTGTATGGTGCTCGTGGAGACAGGGAAAGGCTCTAACATGGAGTGCAGATGACAGTGGGGACGGGACAGGGGGTCTGGGGACACCAGAGCATTGCTGGCAGTCTCACAATTTGGTTTAGTGTCGGCCTGCTGCTAACTGGAAAAACAACAGTGCAGCAACGACAAAACAAAGAGATCACCTTGACTAGAAAACCCAGAGAACACCTTGGGCTCAGCGGCAGCTCTGCAGATGCACAGAGTGCTTAGCTATTGATGAGCAGAGTGCAGACAGCTGCGGAGAGCGCATTGGGCTCATGCAAAAAGCTCAGTAAAGCTGCAAGTGGATGTCTCAGGTTTAAAAGCTAACGAACCACAGGCAAAAACAGTATTTGACTGAATTTTCCAACTAGATTTGGACTCCTTTCTCTCTCTGAATCTTAAAAGTACAAGTTCTGGATTCTGATAGATGAGGACAATGAAATAACTTTTTTTTGGAGTTACTGAACATTCTGGTGACTATACGTCTTGGATACCAGGGACACACCGATACCCACAAATATTTATTGTAGCTGAACACACCTTTTGAATCATCTCTAAATTACTTATGAACTGAAAGCTGTGCATTTTCTGCAGATCTGGAGAACTCTTCTGGTAAGTAATTACCAATCAAAACATGCTGGCTGCCTCCCTGGAGCATGTGGACAACAAATGTGGTCCTCTGCACTCCCTCAGCTCCCCCGCCCCCAGCGCCGTCCTCCCAACAAGCGCAACGGTTTGCTCCCATAAAAAGAGCTGATAAAATTAGCCTCCACTGTGATGCACGGAAAACCTTTATTTAATAAAATAATGCATTTTGCTTCATTCCCAGGACAGCAATAAAATGGTGCAACTGCGAACCATAATAGTTCATCCAGTTGGTTTTCACTGCGTGTACAAGGGTTTGTTGTTTGTGGCCATGTGGAAGCTTGGAAAGCTGCTTCATGAAGGAACACATTTGGGCGGCCTGCAACCACCCTCGGCAAGAACGGTTTGGTTCCTGGTTTCCTTTGAATACACTCTTTGGATACACAAATCAAGTCTTCCCACGTTCCTTGTCTAGAAAAAGAAGTTGTGGGGATTTCCCAAAGAGTACTCAGAAATTTAATGGGTGAGGGAGACATCAGTCATTTCCTCAACTGAGAACAGCATCCAAGTCCCCAGTCAGGCACACTGGGAACCTGAAAACCCAAGACGTAGTCAAAGCCATGCTGCTAAGCTGGGCCGCGGAGGCTCGCGTCAAGCACACAGGCACTGCAGACTGACAGCGTTCTGGAACCAGAATGTCGGTGTGGAAGAAAGCACAGGTTTCCCCTGCCAGATGGCCACACTGTCAACTAAATTTCAGAGCAGGAGGTTACTTTGGGTAGGAGCAAGCACCAGAGCTGACTTGCAGAGTAAGGCCTAGAATCAGTTCTGTACTAAATCAAAGTTAGGTTCAGGCAAAGAGAATTGAAGGAAGATGAGTACACATACTCCCTGACAGTTGGTAGTGGCATTGGTGAGAAAGACGATGACAGAAGAGAAAGAGAAGAAAGATAAAATGACACTACTAAACACTTAGGTATTGCTTACTTCTGCCAGGCAAAGTTCTAAGTACTTTATGTTCACCAACTCCATCAACTCTAACAATAACCCCATGAGGAAGAAATTATTATTGTACCCATTCCACACATAAGTAAACTAAGCCACAGAGAAGTTACATCACTTGCCTAAGATCCCATCGTTAGTAGGTCTCAGAGCTGGTTCAAACACACCAAGCCTCGCTCCCATTCATGTTTTTTCACTCAATCAACAATGGCGTGTATCAGAATCATCTGGAGGTAGGGTTGCTAGATTAAAAACAGCACACTCAGTTAAACTTGAATTTCAGATAAAGATCGAATAACTTTTTAGTGTATGTTCCATGCAATATTTGCTAAATCTGACAATCCTTCATGAAGGGCTTGTTAAAATAGAACATTGTGTCTCACCTCCAGAGAATCTCATTTGGTAAGCCTGAGTGGGGCCTTCACAGAAATCTGCATTTCTATGAAGTTCCCACATGATGCTGATCTTGCTGGTGTAAGGACCATACTCTGAGAGGTATTGATCCATACTGTGGTGGCCTCATAGCATTAACTTCAAAAGAAAATTGCCAACATTTGTAAGTGGGAAGATTTTACCTAGAAATCCAGACTCTCAAATTATATTGAAAATTTGAAAGATCTGGCCACACATTATTATGTAGCAACGGTGACTAAATAGCAGCTGGCCCTTTTGGAGGGGGCTTGGATCCTCAAGTTTGCCATGGTCCCCACCACAATCTCCTACCTCCTCACCAGGGACTGAGTCCACTTGTCATTTATAATCATCTGTGTGCTTTTTTTTTTTTCTCATAGCAGGATTAAGGGAAAAATGCAAAAATTTTTATATCTACATCTTCATCAAAAATAGACAGAGAGGGCCGAGCCCGTGGCACACTCGGGAGAGTGCGGCTCTGGGAGCGCAGCAGCGCTCCCACCGCGGGTTCGGATCCTATATAGGGATGACGGTGCGCTCACAGTGCTCACTGGCTGAGCGCGGTGCGGCCGGTCTCAAAAAGGACAAAAAAAAAAAAAAAGAAAATAATTAGAATTGAATCATCCAAATATTTAAAAAGAACTAAAATGGCCAGTATTGGCAAGAATGAAAGAATGAGAATCTCTCATATACTATTGAAACATTTACCAGTAAAACTTTTAGAAGGTAATCTTGGGGAAATGAGCCTCTTTAAGAAGTAGGCACAGAATGAGCAATGAAAATGTGTGGGAACAGAAACAAATAATATATAGCAGAGAAGTTTAGTGAGGTTTGATGATTTGGAGATCATGGAAAGAAAATGGGACATAATTCCCCCAGCATTGAGTTGTGACAACACATGTAAGATGTTGCCAACCAGGGAAACTCAGTGCTCAGGGTTGTTACTCCTGGCTCACATCAGCACCTCCTGATCTTTGAAAAACCCTTCCCTGAGTGTTAGAAGTGATACCCAGGAATGAATGGAGTATGAGAAATGGGAAAAGACTCAAAAAGTTTGGGCAGCAAAGGAAGGGAAAAAAACTTGTCTTCATTTGTCTAGTTTAAAATATTCATAATTTACAATGCAACAACTTTCCACTTAAGAAATGTTTTTAATTCCTTGTGTGTTTTTCTGTTTTAATCTCTGAAGATAGGGAAAGTCTATTTTTCTGCTGATGCTATTATGAAATAGTAATGCTTATTAAGTGATTAAGCAATTTCTGGTGTCACTTTATTGCCTTCCACCAGATGGACCTCTTTTGACTTTTTTTTTCCTCAAGTTCTCATCTTCTTTTTGTTAAACTATTTCCTCCATATATTTCCTCTCTTTTTTCAGCTTTCTCTTTCTCATTTATTTAGACTTTCTGATTTGTCAAAACTAAAGAGGTTACTTAAATTTAGATTGAAACACTGGAAAAGTTGGCAGGCATTGGAAGTATAGTACTTTTAAATTTCTCATTTATCCCTAGGAATAATATAAAAAAACAACAGTGTGAAGCCATTGTTGGTGCCCAGTGTGGCAATGCAGTGTTAAGAGGAGCCCATGTCTATGTTCCAGGAATTGTGTCAGCTTCAAAATGTAAGTATATGGTTTAGGTTTCTCTTTAAAGATTCTCTAAAATTTATGTGCATTATGAAATGGAATATTTATTAAATTATCACTCATATATATTTTAAATGTACCCATGTGAGATATTTTCCAAGCTTTGCATTTGTTATAGGCAGTGAGGATGTTATCTGGTAAGGACTAACAAATTAGGCATCCATATAAGGTATTCTGCCTATCCTTTTCTTTCCTTATAAGGATGTATGGGATGTTTGTTTAGGGGATCATTACTGATAAATAGAGTGTAAGATGTCAGTATAATTCTGTTTTGTATTCTTGACTGTGTTGCCCTCAGTCTGCTTTCGTGTCATTTGTGAGGGTAACATCCAGAACCTGGAATCTGAACATGGGGATGAAACTCAGTGTTCTTAATGTACTCACCTGGTTGACAGCATATTGCATATGATTAGTAAGTTAGTCACTGTGGTTCAGTGGTGTCTTATTGGCCTTGAAATCATTGCAGACTTATTTGGTCTCTGGGTTTCAGTTATCTTGTCCATGAAGTAAATAAATCGATCTGCAGAATTTGGCAAACTATGCTGACCAAGTCTGGCCCATGCCTAGTTTTGTATGGCCCATAAGCTAAGAATGTTTTTTTCACTAAGAATGGTTTTTCCATTTTTAAAATGTAAAAACAAATACAGGGAAGAATATGTCATAAAAACCTTATATGGCTACAAGGCCTAAAATATTTATGTTGACCCCTGATCTACATGCTTAAGTCCTTCTAGCTCTAGTTAATAGGCTACTCACTACTATTGTCAGGTAATAGGCTTAACAAATTTATAAGAGGTCTTCAAATGTTTTTTGGAAGTTGAATACAATTTCCTATTATTGATATCACTGGAATTTTTTTACTGAAAATAATTTCATGAAGTGTCTACAAAAACTAGATTTAATCAAGCATATAAATCAACTCTGTACGCTACAGTTTAAAGGTATTCTAAGTACGTTAGTTTTTGGGAAATAATTTATAAAGAAGATGTCCTTCCTTCTCTTCTCAGCTAAATATTTCCAGTTGAGATAGAATGTTTTGAAGACTATTCTATTTTTTTTTGTCATGGAAAAATTTTTCAATTAGATTTATTGTTAGGAGTTATTTAATAGTCAAAAGTCAGATTTTCTATTAAGGATTATATTGAGATAATAAACCAGTTTGAACTGTTTCATGTCTGCTATTGATGCCCCTAGAGATTCACAGTGTAGCTTAAAGAATTTTCAGTATTCTGCCTAAGTAGAGATCTGTATAATCTGATTTTCTTCTTTCTCTAGTTATGAAAGCAGGAGATGCTATTTCCATATATTCTGATATTAAAGGAAAATGTAAGAAAGGAGCCAAAGAATTCAATGGAACAAAAGTATTTCTTGGAAATGGGATTTCTGAACTGAGCCGCAAAGAAATCTTCAACGGGCTACCTGAACTGAAGTATGTCATCAAGTCTTATGGGAAATAAGCATCCTTTTTTGGTTCAAAGAAAAAAACAGTGTAAAATGTGTCTAGTTGAATTATATAAATAATTTTTTCTTGGTATATATTCAACTGGAAAAAAATTTGTTTAACCTATATTTCTATGATTTTTGGAGAAAGTGCTTTTAAGTCAAAAAGGGCAAATGGTCAGATTTAAGAGCCCAAGTAAGCAATCACACTGTAATTATCAAATAATTTTATTTGTCCTTTTGAATTTTCTTGATTTGAAAATTTTTGTGTCTTTGTAAAACAATGCTCATCTTGAGAAAGAATGAATTAGATGACCTATCCAGATCTTTTTTAACATTCTGATTCTGTGAAAGAAGAGTCTATGATTTCAGTATGTTAAAAATTAAAAAAATTAAATTAAAATTTCCTCAGAAAGCCAGCACTCACATGAATATTTATGTGCAAAAATGAATGTTTGGGTTTGTTCAAACCAAACTAAAATATATTTAGGTCTAAATCATCTCTGGTTTCTAGTGTACCTAAATAAATTTAATCCAAGTGAGCTAACTAGCCAGCCCTACCATGCTGTTTCTGAGGCCTGTATCCTTGTTCTTTCTACTTTGTCTCTCTTCTTTGCTTGTACCCTTATACCTGGTTTAAATCCTGATTCTTATCCTTGACTTTGTAATTAGACTGTACTCTTTTCTGTGCCTGTCGAATCCTTAGAACACTGCTTTGATTTATTCTTTTTCTTTCTCCCTCTGGTTTGGCCTGATATCTCAGGCCATGCTTGGCTAGCTCCAACCGTGTTTGTGTGTTCTCTCTACCCTTTGATAGTCTCTGAAAATCTCTCTCAAATTTCGATGTTTGTGTTTATGAATCACTATTCACTTTGCCATCCTGGGTCCTGGCCCTTCCTGCTCTGATCAGTTTCACTGCCACTCATAAAATGGGACAGAGGTGGAAAAGGTCATCTTGGGATTCTGTCAGTACCAGGCAATTATTCTATAAAAAACGAGAGAAGAGCAGTATGGTGCGTTTGTCATTGCTCAGCATTAGCATGATTCTAAATATTTTTCCATTTTTCATGAAAGTACCTAGCAGAGTTCCTTGCAGACTGAATCATTCACAAAATGTTTGTTGAATGGAAAGGCTAATAACAGTGATCATAAATCTGTTACCAGAAAAATTAGCATGAATCAATAAAGAGTCAGGTGTTCTTTGCTTATTAGTCTGTTCAAATCTCTAAAGAAACTCATTTGTGCCTAAATGAAAAGTTTGGTAACTTTATCCATCTTAGTTTTGATGGCTTCCTACTCTACTACAGGTACGAATTCAAAAACAATTCACAGGACTGTTCTATTTTGGTGTTGAAAAAGCAAGTTTTAAGAAGGCAGAGTATCTTGTATTTGACATACTTGAGTATGTTCCTAGAAATGTAGTTTGTACAGACTGTGTAATTTATAAGACTAATGTTAGATTTCCTGTTTTTCAGAGGTATAGGTATAAGAATGACAGAACCAGTATATCTCAGCCCGTCATTTGATAATGTACTGCCCAGTTACCTATTTTTACAGGTAAGTATTTATAAACGTAAAATATTTAGTAACATTGAAACTTGTATCAGTGAATTATTTGTAATCTAAGGTCTTTTGTTTTTTTGGTTTTTACTTCTGTTAACATTTTTTTGTCTATTTATATATATTCTGATTTACCTTTGGGTAAGAAGTAAGATGAAATATAAGCATCTTTCTTTTTCTCAGTTGAACTACTTTTTCTCTCCTTTGTGCAAAGGCGATTTAATAATTTATTAAAATTACTACTTTTGGGGCCGACCCGTGGCTCACTCGGGAGAGTGTGGTGCTGATAACACCAAGGCCACGGGTTCNTAGCAGCTGGCCCTTTTGGAGGGGGCTTGGATCCTCAAGTTTGCCATGGTCCCCACCACAATCTCCTACCTCCTCACCAGGGACTGAGTCCACTTGTCATTTATAATCATCTGTGTGCTTTTTTTTTTTTCTCATAGCAGGATTAAGGGAAAAATGCAAAAATTTTTATATCTACATCTTCATCAAAAATAGACAGAGAGGGCCGAGCCCGTGGCACACTCGGGAGAGTGCGGCTCTGGGAGCGCAGCAGCGCTCCCACCACGGGTTCGGATCCTATATAGGGATGATCGGTTCGCTCCCAGCGCTCACTGGCGGAGCGCGGTGCGGCCAATCTCAAAAAAAAAGGACAAAAAAAAAAAATAGAGAAGATCAACTGTCCCTTCGAGTATGCTCTACCCCATTCACTAATTTACATTTGCTACCTGACCTCTTTAAGGCATTTGGATTTACCTCTTGTTTAGCTTTTCTTGTGAAAAATTCTATCTACCTTGTTTATGAATATAAAGTGATTTAGCAAACTCTCGCTTCATGGAGAGAGTGAAGACACAAACTTCAGCCTAGTTCAGATCAGTCACTACAAATTTCATATTACTAAGTGTGGAATTAACTAGGTATACTGCATTTTTGAAATCCAAACACAGTTTCATTAGTACTAGCCACTAATGTCTTATAACAAAGACAGAGTTAACTAAGCAAATAACTGGCGCGTCTATTTAAAGTGTAAATAGAAGAAAAGTTCATGAATTAAATGAGTGAATCCACTGACTGTTCTCCCTTGGCTGTAAAGGAGCATTCAGCTGCCACAACGTCCACCAGCACCTTTGTTAAAAGGATTAGTCGGCTCCAGTTATCTCTACTGGGTCAGAGATCTTCTCAGTGGTCTCTCACAAAGTAAATGTCTCTCTAAATTTTTGAAAGTACTCATCTGTATTGATAAGTGCCATTAAAGATAAGGGATCACCTGGCAATTGGGGATTCCTAAATAATCAAGCCTTTAAGAACAGTAGCCATATTCCCTACTCTAACATGACTCCACGGACAGACCAATGCCGCATGCTTGTCAAGATTAAGGGACAATACACCTCATATTTTCCAGGGTGGTTCTAGAAAGTACAGAACAGGTGGCCATTCTCAGAGGATTTCAACTTAACAGCATTTCCCTTTAAAAGGTAATAAAACTCACCAGAAGCAAAAATAAACAAATAAAAGGTTTGGCTCTCCAAAGTCTCCTGGTTTTAACTAACCTTTTCATTTAAAGTTATGAGCCTGTATATTTTCTCTCAAAATGGAATGCATCAGGTTTATTGGATATATATATAGTAAATCCCACTTCTCCCATGGTTCCCTTGATTCATCATTCCTTGGATGGGTTCACCATGGTGAAAGCATGGGTAAGGATCATAGAAATTCCTTTCTTTCTAAATAACTCTTCCTGCCTATGTCCCCATTCCTGGTTGGTTGTCTTCTTGTCATTGAAATGCACTTGGATCCACTTGGGATGTGTTCAGCTACAAGTAACAGAAAATTCAAGTAGCACTGGCCTGGCCTACACAGAGGAGGCTTTCTCCTTTCTCATAACAAGGCCTCTGGGGGAGGGCAGTTGATGGACAGCTGCAGTGGCTCACCAACACAGGTGCAGGTGGAGGTCTTTCTCTCTTCCCACTCTTTGTCCTTACCATGATCATGTCTGTCCCCATGCTTGCCACCTTGTGGTCAACGAGGTGGCCACCGCCGCATCAGGTATCACTTTCATGTTCAATATAGAAAAAATCTACAGGCGCTGTGCCAGCAACATCGATCCTTTTCATCAGGAAAGCAAAACTTTTCCTAGAAAGCCCACAGGTGACCTCCATTCATCAGTTACCTGTAGCTACAAAGCACCATGGAAAGTCAAGGACGGACAAGGACCTGGGTCCCATGGGTCAGCCCTGGCACCCTTGTGCAGCTCTCCTTCCTATAAATAGTAGAAAGTCATTCCTCGTGTCATCGTTTAGTATGTGAATACTTTAGGACAGGATAATACACTAAAATAACTCACACCAAAGTCCTAGTAGCATATAATGTTACATCTTTCTAGATAAGAGACATTCTGAACATGGGGCTGGGGGATGGGCAAGTAAGCATACTTCAAAGACACCTTCTGCATATTTCCCAACACAACCTCATGCTGGCTGGCATCTGAACTTTCATTTCACCTTCCTACCCTTCACACACAACCAAAAGCCTATTAAAGCTACTGGCAGTACTATACATTACTGCAGTTTTTAAGAACTTGGGCTTTGGGGACAGAGCTTTGGGTTCTACTCCTGACTCTCCCACTTACCAGCTGCATCACTGTATTAGTTTTCTAGGGCTGCTGTAACAAATTACCACAAACTTAGTGGCTTAAAACAAAACAAATTTATTATTTTCCAGTGGGTCAAAAGTCTGGCAAAGGTTTCACTGGGCTAAAACCTGTGCTGCTTCAAGTCAGAACACTAGTCCTTCTGTGTGTGTCCGGTGAGAGGTGACTGGAGGGGGGCACAGGGGCCTCAGGGGTGCTGGTCAATCAACGGCAAGACCCTTGGGGGTCTTGGTCAGGGCTCTAGCTGTAGAGGTGTGTTCACTTTGTGAACAGTCAGTGAGTTGTGCACTTAGGGGCGTACACTTTTCTGCAGGCATTATATTGCAATGAAAGCTAACAACAGACAGACAGACAGACAGACAGATACTCTAGTTGTCCATCTTCTCCATGGAGAAATGGAGGCAAAGATTAAGCCAGAGCCCTGTCAGTAGGGTTAAAAATGAGACCTGAGACTGGGCAGCTTACCCCCTAGTCCTTCAAGCTTAATTTATTAAAAGCCAATTTCCACTCATATTTTAAATCTCCTGAGGAAAAGTTTTCTTTTTAAATTTGCTTTTGCCTTAGAGTCACATTTCTACTGCAAGTGAAACGTACCTTGTGTACGTCAGACACACCTGTGAAAACAGAACTGAGCCTGTCATATATCCATGTCTGCTTCATTTTCTTTTAGACACAGTAAAAAACATGCCACGACAATAAACCCCTTTTCATCCTGGCCAGCAGGAAAATTACGTTATGACTGAAATGACATCATTCAGCTACGACACTGAGCCAGTGGCTCCTCTAAGAATCTGGAGGAGGTAGTGACAGCATGGATATGAATGCTACTCAGCAGCAAATCCCACCCTTTCTAATCAGCAAATGGCTTTTTTATTGCCATGACATTTTGAAAATGATATTGTGACAGCTACATTGTCTGAGGCCACTGATCACCCAACATCCCTTATCTCTGAAATTAACCATATTGGCTGGAGTGTCCTGTTTCAAAGCAGGGAAGACAAGGATGGGGGTAGGGACAAGCTCATTCTAGATAACTAGTTCCAAAGGGAGAAGACCAGGGGGTGGTTGAGCATCTGCCTCACCTCTATCAATTGTTTCTAAAGTGACCTCAGGTCGTAGCAGTGATAATAATAGCATATGTAATATTAATCACAGTATCTACAATAATACTCATCTCTGTAGACTATTGATACTGTCTGACATAATACTCTAGGCAAAAAACCAGCACAAACAGAACAAACGACATCATGGCAAGGCCCTGACCCTCCTTCTCCTTTTTAACTTTAAGGCTGTAATCACAGTATCTACAATAATACTCATCTCTGTAGACTATTGATACTGTCTGACATAATACAAAAAACCAGCACAAACAGAACAAACGACATCATGGCAAGGCCCTGACCCTCCTTCACCTTTTTAACTTTAAAGCTCCCCTCCTTCTCCTTTTTAACTTTAAGGCTGAACCACATGAAATTGCTTATATGTAACCATTTTCAACTTCCAGAGATGGGCAATTCCATATGGCTCATCCTAAAAGACTGCCCTCCCCCACAAGACCCTTCAACGCAGAAATGTTGGGAGCTGCCTTAAGATCTAGGGAAATGCCCATACTTATCAAGCAACAGAGAATTAGAAATGCTGCTGCCTCTCACCATATGAAAGTACAGATAACAGGTTCCAGGCAAATGATGCTTTGCTGTCCTCAGAAAGAGCTGGACCCTAAACCAGTGCCTCCTCTTGTCCTTTTCCTGCTCAATGTGAAGCCAGGTGCCTTAGGATAAATGTACATCTTCAGGTCAACAGTAAAAGCAGGAGGAGTCGCCAGAGCAGGGAGACTAGAACAGCAACCAGCCCTAACCCTTGAGGGAGGCTGAGAGCATCTGCAAATATTGTGCCACATGCTGCAAGGCCAACTGAGAGCCACCTGCAAGCCAGATGGCAGGAGGCTAGGAAGCCACTGCCGGGAAGCTGGGTTCCCAACTGGGTAGCAGGATTTCAGCTGACCTGTCTGCTGCAGGTGACTGGTCCTTGTGCACTGGAGTGAAGGGCCAGGAGAGAGACAGCACACTGTTTCAGAGCCATGCGTCATGAGGGGAGATGCATGCCGCATTTGTCTAGATAGCTGCCAGGGAGGGCTTGGGAATGAGTACAGGCTGGTTCTGATGGAGGACTAGAGGCGGGAAGGAAAGGTGAGAGCATACGGAGTACTGCCGAGGAGAAGAAAACTAATCCAGGAGAAGAAGAGTAAACCTGGAGCAGTGACAGGTGGTTTCAAAGGTCTGCTCAGATCTTGCTCACAGCAGTCCTGCTGCAATCATGCAGGGGAGATGGTCTGGGCTAAAGA